CCCAAGGCTTGCTTTCAAGGGTCGAATGAGAAAGCCACTTGGTTAAACTGAGAGCAACAGGAAACAAGTGTAAATGCTTTTCAACATTAACTGTGGAAGAGGCTCAGGATCCAGTAAACACTGCCACTGATCAGAATGAGCGGGCGGGGGAGGGGGCTCTCCCTCATTATTTCCTCCTCTATGTGCACACTGAGGAAGTTAGCGTCTAGGAGGTGGAGAGCCACTTTGCACGATGCGACATGGGCTGAGAACACAGTCATAGCCTCGGCCCAGCTCGGTGGTGCAGTCAGTGTAAACTGAACCACGACACTGGAAGACCCATGGCCGACTATGGGTTGCGGGTTCTGATTCCTGGGTTAGTCTGAAAACACTGGACCTAGGAAGCTGGTAAGGGAGATCTTGGCATGACAAGACGCCGTCACTCACACGTGCTTCCCTCTCTCTCTCTGTGTTTCTCTCTATATATAGTGTGAATGCACCTGCTCTCTATTATGAATTAGAAAATAAATACAAGTTCATGCTCTTGAACGCAATGGTTTTACTGAAAAAGCCCAAGATCCCGAGAGGAGAATGGAGGAGAAGGGATTGCGGCGTGACCATCCCCCTGGGGGGTGATTTCTTGCTTTCTGTCTCTCTGTCTCTCTCTGTCTGTCTGGCGAGCGCACGCGCCCTATAGCAAAACAAACAAACAAACAAAATCTCTCAAAAAAAAAAAATGATGAGGGAAAAATGAGTAAGTATGAGTTTACTGGGTCAGGCTGTGGCCTGGTGGTTAAGGAGGCTAGATCCCACATGGCTGACTGTACAGTTCAAGCTCCAGACCTGGCACCTTAAGAAATACACTGGCTGCCAGGACACCAGCAGATGTCGTAATAGTTACACGTTGGACTCCCACACAGCTGACAGCAGTTTGAGTCCCAGACCTGGTGGCTTAAACCTCACAACAGGCACATGTGCGTGCACATCCAAGATCCTGAGACTAGAGAGGGGACTGCAGCATGGCCATTCTCCATGCTACAATCACGCTGGGGGGTGATTTTCGCTTTCTGTCTCTGTTTCTCTCTGTCTTTCCAGGGAGCACACATATCTTATGGCAAAAATCTCTCTCAAAAAAAAAAAATCCCATATGTAGGGTTAGCAAGGTGTGGGCATGGTGGTTAAGGTGCTTCCCCATGGCCAATTACAGTGTGACCCCCCAACCCAGTGGCTTGAAAATCATGCCCGGTAGTGGCCAGCAGGTGGCTGGATTCCAATATGGCCAACAGACCTAATGGCTTGCTTTCTCACTTTCTTGCTCTCTCTCTCTCTATCTCTCTCTCACCCTGTCCCTCTTTGGTCAAATTAAAATAAATACAGTTAAATAAAATAATCAAAAAAAAAATCATGCCCAGTATATGTGAGTGCCCCAAATCCTAAGAGATGGAGGAGAAAGGATTGTGGTGCCCTGGAGGGGGATTTCTCACTTTTCCTCTCTGTCTTTCTCCAGGAAACACACACACACACTATAGCAAAAATAGACAAACCAAACAAACAAAAAACCGTGTATGGGGGCCAGCAGGCAGCACGGAAGTTAAGACACCTGGATCTCACATGGCTGACATTGCTGGTTGAGTTTTAGACCTTGAGGCTTGAAAATCATGCCAGGCACGTGTGCTTGCTTGCTCGAAATCCTGAGAGGAGTCTGGAGAAGGGACTGCAGTGTAGCCATCCCTTCTGAAGGGTGATTTCACATTTTCTCTCTCTGTCTCTGTCTCTCTGGCCTATGACACACCCTATAGCAAAAACTAAAAAGAAAAAAAAACATGTTTGCATGCATGTACAAAATGCTGAGAATTAAGAAGGGACTGCAGGGACCAGCAGTTAGCGTAATGGCTATGTCGCTGGACTCCCACGTAGTCGACCACGGTTCGAGTCCTGGACCTGGTGGCTTAAAACTCACACCGGGCGCGTGTGCGTGCATGCCCAAGATCCTGAGAGGAGAATGGAGGAGAAGGGATTGCGGCGTGACCATCCCCCCTGGGGGGTGATTTCTCGCTTTCTGTCTCTCTGTCTCTCTCTGTCTGGCGAGTGCACGCGCCCTATAGCGAAAACCTCTCAAAAAAAAAAAAAAAAAATAAAAAGGGACTGCTCCGTGGCCGTCCCCCTGGGTAGTGATTTCTGATTTTCCCTCTCTTTCTCTGTCTCTCTCCAGCAAGCACAAGTGCTAAAAGTAAAACTTAAAAAGAAAATTGAAATCTATGTATGATCTTTTCATAAAACACATCCTACATGAACTCTTTTTTTTTTTTTTTTGGAGAGGATTTTTTCGCCCGACAGACAAAGAGAGACATAGAGACAGAAAGCGAGAAATCACCCCCCAGGGGGTATGATCACTCCGCAATCCCTTCTCCTCCATTCTCCTCTCCAGATCTTGGGCATGCACACGCACGCGCCCAGCGTGAGTTCTAAGTCCCCGAGTCCGGGACGCGAACCGCAGTCGACTACGTGGGAGTCCAGCAACATAGCCATTATGCTAACTGCTGGTCCCCTCCATGAACTCTTTAAAGACTCCTCATACATTACAGATTAAATAATAAATTTATTGCAACGAAATCGATCTTGGGCACTTCCAAATGATAAAATTCTTACTTATCTTCTCTGCAAGTATCAATTATTCTTCTAAATGTCCTATCAATGGGTGTATATAACTATTTAAGTTAAAAATAAAAGAGGTGTTAAGCAATCGGTTCATATAACCTAGATTCTAAGTAATTCTAATTGGATCTTAGAATTCATTCTCTTAACACCCAGACTCTGCAACTCTATAAACTATATTAGAAACATGAACATCTAACCTATATATACTCCAACAAGAAGTTTACAGACAGCTAGGATATATTTTTGGTTTTCTGTTTTTAGATTTTCATCATAAGGTGCATACCCTCACCAGAGACACAGAGACAGAGAGGGAAAGACAGAACTCACCCCCCCTCCCCAGAGGAGAGAGCCTTGCTAAACCCCTCCTTCATTCTCCTACCACGGGCTGCATTGTTTTTCAAGCCGTCAGCCACGTGGGATCCAGCGCCTTAACCACCACGCCAACCGCTGGCCCAACTAAGATACTTTATTTTTTTCTGCTATAGGGGTGCGAAGCGTATTCCCACTAGAAAGATAGAAAGCGAGAAATCACCCCTAGGAGGGATGGGCACATCGCAATCCCTTCTCCATTCTCCTCTGGGGATTTCGGGCAAAAGCACAAGCATTAGGCGTGACTTTTAAGCCGCCAGTCTGGGACTCGAACCACAGTCGATTACGTGGGCATCCATCCAGTGACGTAACCATTACACTATCTGTGGTCCCACGATACGTTTTCAATTACTAAACACAAAGGGCAAATCTGTTATGCTGGAGCGGTCTGTTCTTTAGGGTCAGAACTTGTATCTTTCAACCTTCAGTCTTTGCGACGTAAGTGGAGAATAAATTGTCTTTGTCAACTCCAGTTTTACTGCACAAGCTACCGCCGTAGGCACTGCCCCGGGGCATGGTAAAACGCCTTGCAAGCACGAAGTTACTTCCCTCTCCGATTCCTACAAGTCTTTGGAAGAGCCCACCAGACGGAGGTCCTAGCCTCAACTGGCTGGCGACCACGGATTCTGAACCTCGGATTCTCCACCTGGGAGAAAAAGGGGGTTCGATGGATGGACGGACATCCCACAAGAACGGTATTTCTACCTCACTCTTCCAGGCGTGCAGGGAAATCTGCGCCAGTCAGCTCCACGACCAGGACCCGCCTGGACGTCCGGGGCGAGACGCAGTCCGGAAGGGTCAAAGATTCGGCTCAAGTCCTCCACGCCCCGAAAAGGTCCTCGGGTTCTCCTCCCCGGGCCACCCAAGCAAGGTCCGAGTGTGGCGGATGTGCCCGGATACCCCACAGCCGGGGACGGCTGCTCCCTCCACCCCTATCCTGAAAGCCCTCCAGCTCCAAAGGTAGGCGACGCCGATGCCCAGCAGCCCGACCTCCCCGAAGGTCCCTCCGCGCATTGTCGCCCTCACCCGAGGCTCACCAGGGGTCCGGGGCCATCGTGCAGTCTCCGCCCGCTGCTCGGACACTTCCTGCTCGCAGCAGCTGACTACGGCGGCCCGCGCGGCTCACTCCCCGCGGCTCGGCCCGTGCGCGAGCGGAGCTGAAGTTGGTAAAGTGAACGCTGTGCACTAGGACCTGAGAACTCTGACGGAGACAGGCGTTCCCCTAGGGGACAGTAGGCGGTAGCACTCTGCTCCCACTAAACAGACGCGAAGTGCTGGGTGCAAGTAAAATAAATTTGTTGCCGATCGGAATCTAAGCATTTTTCCCAAAAGAGTGGGAACGCCGCAAGTCCTATCTCTAGCAGCTACTTAAAATGTTACCCTTCTTCAAAAACAAGCAAAAAAATCAAACGAACAATAAAACTGGGTTGAGGTGATAATTGCACACTGTGTACACTTACTAAAACTCACTTTAAATAAATTTTATGAAATGCAAATATACCTAAATAAAGCTTTTTTTAATCTTCAGAATATTTTTCCAATCCTGCTTTCAACGAGGAGCCCAAAGAATCAGACACATATTTTTAAAATGATTTATTTATTATTTAAAAATGTTTAAAATATTATTTTAAAATGTTTGCTAGAGGGCACATGTGTTCACCAGAGAGAGAAGGAAGGAAAGTGAGAAAGCAAACCGCCAGGTCCAGGACTTGAACCGCGGTCAACCATGTGGGAGTCCAGCACATTAACGATCACATACATATTTTATAGCAGTCTTCGCATCAATCCTCTACGCTCAACTTGAAAATGCCTTTAGGTATCGTTAACAAAAAGGTCACCGATAGGACACGCCGAGATGCGTATTTAGTCCCACCCCCTAAATTTCCAGAGAAACAGAAAAAAAAGAACCCACCCTTGATTTGCATGAAGTCAAAAGATCTGCAACTCGGCGGGCTGGGTTCCGCGCGGGTGTGGCCCTAGCGCGCATGCGCGCGTTCGTTACCCTAACGACCAGGAGACGCTGCACCCTCCGGAGCTGCGAGGAGAGAGAGCCTAGTGTCTGGAGATGGAAAACCAAATTTCACCCGAGGCCGAGGTAGCCGAGTTGGAGCTCGAGGCCGTGATCGGCTTCAATGGTGAGACGTCGAGCATCCCCGGGTGGGCTGGGTCAGGAACCACGGTAGTGCGAACGGTGAGAAGTTGGGTGGCACCTGAAAGGCAGTGTGGGGCAATGGCAGGAGCCCTAGCCAGGTCCGAACGCGGGGAACCAGTACAGCCTCCTTCCCACCAGCCTGAGAAGGTTACTTCTTGCATAGAGCCTCGGATAGTGGGGTGATTTTTACCGGCTCTGACAAGCGTCTGCACCTAACGGCGGCGGCGGAGGTGGACCTCTGTGAGGATGGAGCGACCCTTGTCCCACTAGGCCAGCTCTCCCTGGTTCTGACCCCACTGGCCAGCAAAGCTCCCGGCCCACCCGTAACCACCGGATGCTGTCGGGGTCGCCCCCTGGGACCAAGAAGTCTAAAATCCAGGCAGATGTGTTTGCGGGGGGGGGGGGGGAATGTTTGGGGGGGGGGGGGCTGTTTAAAAAGAACACTCTCAAGGATCATTTTGTTCCTGTAACCCGAAGACAAGATCCTATAATAAACGGAGAGGATTTCCGACCAAGGATGAAAAGGGACGCCAGGGGGAGCTGAGGGGAGCGATGTTTTCATCAAAACCGACTAGTTTCTTTGCTTTGAATATTTAGGAGGAAAGATGCTGTGTTGTGTTTGTTTTGAGATTGTTGTTGTTATGGGGTTTTTTTAGAAAATAAAAAAACAGTGGATTAAATTTTAGAAAAAGCAAGCCTGCATGTGCCTTGTGAAGCCTGGACGCTCTGAAATTGTAATGGGGTAGATGTAGAATCACTGACGGTTTACAAAGTTTTGAGTAGCTCGTAGCTCCCCGTTTTACTTTAACAGTCTCTGATAGAACACTCTCGAGTCAGCAGGTAGCATGGTGGTTAGGGTGGCTGGCTCCCACATGGCCAAGTGCGTAGTTAGAGTCCCAGTCTGAAAAACAACGCTATGTGTGAGGACCTGCGTGCCCGAAATCCCTACAGGAGGGGGAAAGATGGAGAAGGAATTGTGTGGCTATCCCCTATGGGGAGGACGGGGTTCTTTCCCACTTTCTCTCCCTCTTCCCTCTGGGGAGTACAGACTGTCTGGCAAAAACATTTTAAAACAAAATATAGAGGGACCAGCAGAGGGGTAATGGTTACGTGGCCTCCCAGGTACTTGGAGTTCCAGACCTGGTGGCTTAAAATTCATGCTGGGCACATGTGCATCGGAGCCCAAGATCCTGAGAGGAGAATGGAGGAGAAGGTATTGCAGTGTGGCCAGCCCTCCCAAGGGGATGATTTCTCGCTTTCTGTCTCGCTTTCTCTCTAGTGAGCGCACGCGCCCTATAGCAAAAATCTCTCTGTAAGAAAAAAAAATAATAATAATTAAAAAAAAGAAAACAGGTACCTAAAACTGAGATGTTAGCCATCTTTAGAGCTAGCTGGGTCAAAGGGTGGAGTAGCCATCCCTGAGTGCAGAAGGTCCCTGGTCAGCGTTGAGACACACACACAGAGCCTGCAACTGAGTTCATGCTGCTTCGTAGCCTCTCAGACCAAGTAAGAAAGGCCCCAATTGATCAAATTGGTTTTTACCTTATTGCTTTTTGATTATTGGTATTCTCTCACATAGTCAATATACAGTTATTTAGATCTATCATACACCAAACAATACACTGTATGTTGAGAATACAAAAATAAATCTGTAATGAGTTTAGAAAGTTGGAAAAGTACAGTGAAACCCAAAGAAAAAGTAGCCTTCATTACATTGTCTATAGATAGCACCGTTAAACTTTGGGCATGATCCTTTCAAATGTAATTAAACTATAAATAATTTTCTTTTCTTTCTTTTTTTTTTTTTTTTTAGGTTTTGCCATAGGGAACATGCACTTGCTAGAAAGAGACAGAGAGAGAGCAAAAGTGAGAAATCACCCCTCAGGGGGGATGGCCACGTCACAATCCTTCTTCCTCCATTCTCTTCCTGGGATTTTGGGCACGCATGCACAAGTGCCCCACATGATTTTCAAACCTCCAGGTCCAGGACGCAAAGCATGGAGTCAGCCATGTGGGAGTCCAGTGCCTTACCTGCTTGCCATCTGTAAATAATTGGTGCTGCCCTCATTTATAAATAAATTTTTTAAAGAATTATTTAACTGTATTTATTTATTCTTTTGTTTGTTTGTTTGTTTATTTTGGAGAGGTTTCTGCTATAGGGCATGTGCACTCCCCAGAAAGACAGAGAGAGACAGAGAGACAGAAAGCAAGAAATCACCCCCCAGGGGAGGATGGCCACGCCGCAATCCCTCATCCTCCATTCTCCTCTCGGGATCTTGGGCACGCACGCGCACGTACCCGGTGTGAGTTTTAAGCCACCGGGTCCGGGACACGAATCGCTGTCGAATACATGGGAGTCCAAGTGACATAGCCATTATACAAACTGCTGGTCCCATTTATTTGTTTATTTAATCTGACCCAAGAGCGTCAGAGTAAGAGACAGAGAGAGAGGGAAAGTGAGAAAGCAAGCCTCTGGATCTGGGACTCGAATCACAGTCAGCCATGTGGGAGTCAAGTGCTCTTAACCACCACACCATTGGCCCACCCCAATTTTTAATAGAAGTGTACTCATGCTGTATGCATTTTCTTATAACTAGACTTTTTTCCACTTCCTAGTATACCATGTGGTTCTTCCCTTAGTAATAAATATACTATATGATAGAATTTTAAAATAATTATTATATTCTGTCACCTATATATGCCAGAATTTACTTAAACAATGCCCTATTAAGAATTTCAAACAATTTCTGGTTTTAGTATTTATTTTTAAATATTACAAAGAGCATCTGCATAGCTAAGTCTTTTGGCTTTTTAGCTTTGTCTCTTGAGATAAATTCTGAGAAAATCATAAAGACTTGATGCCTCCAAATGATATATCTTGAATGTGACAGAAATGTGTACATAAAAACATATATAGAAACACAAGGGGGGAGGCCAGCAGAAGGTGTAATGGTAACATGGCTGAACTCCCATGTAGTCGACCACAGTTCGAGTCCTGGACTCGGTGGCTTAAAACACACTGGGAATGTGCATGCCTGCCCAAAACCCTGAGAGGAGAATGGAGGAGAAGGGATTGCAGCGTGACCATCCTCCCTGAGGGGTGATTTCTCACTTTCTGTCTCTCTATCTCTCTCTGTCTTTCTGGTGAGCACACACACCCTATAGCAAAAACCTCTCTCTCAAAAAAAAAAATTACCCTTTCATGTCTTTTACTTATTTTTCTGTTAGACAGTTTGTGTTTTTCCTTTTTCCCCCAAGCATTGTTTTGTTTTTGTTTTTGTTTTTGTTTTTGTTTTTGTTTTTGTTTTTGTTTTTCCCATAGGGCACGTTAGCTTGTCAGAGAGAGACAGTGAGAAGGAAAGTAAGAAATCACCGCCCGCCTCATCCCAAGTGGGGCTGGCCGGATCATAAACCCTTCTCCTCCATTCTCCTCCTGGGACTTTGGGCACATGTGCACACACACCCAGTATGATTTCCAAACCGCCAGGTCCAGGACTCAAACTGTGATCAGCCATGTGTGAATCCAGCACCTTCACCACCATGCCAGCTGCTGACCCAGTTGGTGTTTTTCTTACTGCTTTGCAGGAGTTCTTCGTTTTATGTGGAGATTATCCTTTGTCTTTTATGTACATTGTAGATATCTTCTCCTGGTTTGGATTGTTCTTTTCATTTCGTCTTTTGCTGTTGGATGTTATTAACTAGATAAATACATCAGCCTTTCCTGTAATGATTTGCTCTTTTGGTATAATGGTTATAAAGTCATTTTCTACATTCTGTGTATAAATGAAGTTTTGTTTTTTTCACGTTTAGATCTTTGATCTACCTAACAGGTATTGTTTGTGCATGGTGTGAAATAAGGATCTAATTTTATTTTTTTTCCATATTGGTAGCCATATGCTTGTTTACAAGGAGTCTGTTATTAGAAAAAATAAATGTATTTTTAGTAAAATAGGTTTCCCTAAAGGAAACGAAACTTAGTGTTATAAGAACTCATGTCATAAAAAGAGATACTTAGGCCAGTGGTGGCATGGTGGTTAAGGCTGCTATATCCCCCATGGTGGAATGCACAGTTTGGGTCCCAGACCCAGTGGCTGGAGGTGCATGTGCTTGCATGTCCAAAATCCCAAGGGGAGAATGTAGGAGAAGAGATAGCGGGATGGCCATTCCCCCTTGGGAATCCTTTTTCACTTTTTTCTTTCTCTTTCTCTCCTGAGGGTGCATGCCCTATAGCTAATACATTTTTTTTTTTAAAGGCCAGCAGGTGGCATTGTAGTTAGTTAAGAGGCTGGACTCCCACATGGCCAACCGTGGTCTGTGTCTTAGACCCTGCAGCATGAAACTCACATTGAGTCCATGTGTGTGTGCCCCAAACCCCAGGAGGACAATGAAGGGATTGTGGTGTGGTCTTCCCTCCTAGGGGGTGACTTCTCACTTTCCCTCTCACTATTTCTCCCTATCTCTCTGGCTAGTGCACACACCCTATGAGAAAACTCTTTTTTAAAAAAGGCTCACAATTAAGATGAAAGAGGGGCATGGTGGTTCAGAAGCTGGATTGCAACATGGCCCAGAACTGGAGTCTTGAAAATGACACCAGATGCATGTGCCTGTGTGCCCCGAATCCCAAGACGAGCTCAGAGAAGAAGAGATTGTGGGTGGCAATCCCCCCAAGGGGTGCTTTCTCATTTTCCCTCTCTCTGTCCGACTGTCTCTCTCCTTCCTCCTCCTGCAGTGAGTAAACATGCCCAATGGTAAAATCCTAAAAGCGAAAGTATAGAAAGGAATTATTTATTCACTAACTACATTTGGCCAGTTGAGGAAAACAATTCATTTAGCTATAGGAATCACATAATGCATCAGAATAAATTCCAGAGGGAGGTAAATATAAAAGAAGGATTCATTTTAAAAACCAGAAAACTATATTAATATTATTTATGACTTTTGATTGAGTAGAAAATAAAAACAAAAAAAAAATTTTAATACCCAAAAATAATTGTAAAAAGAAATGTGTAGGATCTGTACAAAGAAAAGCCAAATACAATACTGGGGACATGAAAGGAGATTTCATGGAGAAACATAACCTGTTTTTAGAAAGGAGGTATAAGGTGGGACCAGCAGTTAGTGTAATGGCTACGTCGCTGGACTCCCATGTAGTCGACCGTGGTTTGAGTCTCGGACCCTGTGGCTTAAACTCACGCCGGGCACATGTGCGTGCATGCCCAAGATCCCCAGAGGAGAATGGAGGAGAAGGGATTGCAGAGTGGCCATCCTCCCTGGGGGTGATTTCTTGCTTTCTGTCTCTGTCTGTCTGGTGAGTGCATGCACCCTATAGCAAAAACCTCTCAAAAAAATAAAAAGGAAGTATAATATGTTATAATAAAAATTATTATATATTTACTACTATCTCAATAAAAATACAATGATTTTTTATTAGCTAAGCTAACTTTAAAATTTATATTATAAAATAAATGTAAAGAGTGACCAAAAGCATTCTAACCTAAGATAAGTAACAGGGGAAGACTTTTTTTTCCCCTTTTCTTTTTTTCGTTTTTCTTTTGTGGAGAGATTTTTCGCTAGGTATAGGGCACATGCACTTTCCAGAAAGACAGAGAAAGACAGAAAGAGAGAAGTCACCCCCCAGGGGGGATGGCCATGCTGCAGTCCCTTCTCCATTCTTCTGTCAACATCTTGGGCACTCACGCACACGTGCCCAGTGTGAGTTTAAGCCTCTGAATCCGGGACTCAAACCACGATCGACTATATGGGAGTCCAGCGACATAGCCATTATGCTAACTGCTGGTCCCACAAGGGAAGACATAAGTCTACTTTATATTTAAACACAGTACAGTGTTTGTAATTGTCCAGGTGGTTCTTGGCAAATATTTGGAGGATGGGAGCTGCTTGAGGAAAGAGGCTTCATTGTAAAACCTCTCTGAAGATGCCTGAGAGGCGCCCTCCGAGTTCCTAGTGGTCACTCTTAGAATTGAAACTGAATTTTCTTTTTCATTTTTTTCAGTTTCTTCCCTGAGCAAGAGGAGCAGAGAGAGAGAGAGAGAGAGCCCAGCAGGATCTGGACACTGCAGTCCACCCCCAGCTGTAGCCAGCCCTTGTTCATTTGTTTGAGTGTGCCCAGATGATTCAGGGAGGTCTCTAGAGATGAACCAAGGACCTTCCGATGTTGGTCAGCTCCATAGAATATCGCATTTTACTGCTGTGTGACCTTCTGAGTACCCTGCAACCAAATTTAAAACAAATTTTTTTTTCCAGTTCCATTTCAGTATACTTGATTTTTAAAAAAGCTTCTGTAGTATAAATGTAAGATATTCAATTGCTGTTTTGATGTAGTATATATACATTGTGCAATAATTCCCACAGTAACTCATTGACATATTCACCTCATGCAGCTGGATCCCTCATGACCGACTGTGAAGGTCGAGTCCCGGACCCAGCTCCTTGAAAAACACACCAGGTGCATGTGCATGGGTATGCATGGAGGAGAGGAGATTGCAGTGTGGCCATTCCCCCTGGGGAGGCTGCTTTCTTGCTCTCTTTCTCTCTCTCTCTCTCTCTCTCTCTTTCTCTCCAGGGAGTGCACACATTCTACAGTAATTTTTTTAATTATTAACTATAAAAAAAGAGAATATATTCACCTCATATAGTTATGCAATGAGAACACTTCAACTCAACTCTGTTGCGGCCAATAGGTGGCATAGTGCATAAGGGGCTGGGCTCCCACATGGTCAACTGCATTTTGAGTCTTGAATCTTGTGGCTTGAAACTCACACCAGGTTTGCGTGCCCAAAATCCCAAGAGGAGAATGGAGGAGAAGGGATTGTGGCATGGCCATCCCCCCGGCAGTGATTTCTTACTTTCTCTCTCATTTTCTCTCTCTGTCTCTCCAGCAAGCAATGCACCCTACGAAAAAGCCTTAAAACCAAACAAACTAATCTGTCTTAGCCATTTTCAAGTAGAAAAGGCAACATTATTAACTGTAGCCATCATATTGTACATTAGGTCTCTAGAACTTACTCATCCCACGTAACTGGACCTTTGTACGCTTTGACCACTATCTCCCCGTTTTCCCCACCATCCAGTCCTTAGCGACTACCACTGTACTCTCTGCTCTTAGGAGTTCAGCTTTTTTGGATTCCACATGTAAGGGAAAACATGTGGAATTTGTATTTTATGTTTGACTTATTTCCCATAGCATAATGTCCTCCAGGTTTGTTTTAAAAAGGGGAGGGGGGACAGCAGATGGTGTGGTAGTTAAGGTGGCTGGACTCCCACATGGCTGACCATGGTTCGAGTCCCAGACCTGGCAGCTTGCTTTCTCACTTTCCTTCTCTCTCTCATCTCTCTCTGGTCAACTTCAGAAAAGTATAAAATCAAATGACAATGAATAAAATTCAATTTAAAAAAAATTCTTGAAAAAAATATAAGAAAAGTAGGACCTGGGGGTATGAATAGACATTTCTCAAAAGAAGGTATACAGGTGGCCAACAGGTGCATGAAAAAGTGCTTAAGATCGCTAATCGTCAGAGAAATGCCAGTCAAAGCCACAGGGAGACATCATCTCACATCTCTTAGAAAGATAAAAGATAAAAGAAACCACAATGGTGAGGATATGGAGAAAAAGGCAACCGTTGTACACTGTTGGTGGGAATGTAAATTGGTACAGCCATTATGAAAAACAGTGTGGAGTTTCCTCCAAAAAATAAAAACCAGAGCTACTATAGAACACAATTCCGCTTCTGTGTGTATATCCAAAGCAAATGAAATCAGTGTCTTCAAGAGCTATCTGCACCGACACGTTCACCGCAGCTGTTAACCTGAAAGGGAAGTCTGACACACAGTGATGACGTGAACGATGTTTATTTGGGCCACGGTCTAGGACACATTGCCCGGATGACACAGACGTAGTTGCCCAGGAACCGTGCACCAATGTGGCTGCTGAGAGAGCTAGTTTATGTAACAAAGAGATGGGCAAGAAGAAGGGAAGTTAGAAAGTTTGCTGAGAATTCACATAGGTCCATTTAAAATCACATGGGCGACTGACTGGTTATCCATTATTCTTCCTAGCACAGATTCTGGGAACATCCTGAAGAAGGGTAGGGGTTCACTTTGTAAATCTGTACTGTATTTGGCATCGGTTTGTAAACTAAGATATGCCTTTAGGACAGTAATCCAAGTGGATGTGGATCTGACAAAGGCCTCAAGCTATGCCTCTCTTGGGAGTTTATTGATTTGTTTTTAGTTTTTTGCCATAGGGTGTGTGTGCTCACCAGAGAGACCAAAAGAGAGACAGTGAGAGGAAGGTGAGAAATCACCTCCCAGGTGGGATGGCCACACTGCGACCCTTCTGCTCTGTCCTCCTCCTGGGATTTTGGGCAGGCACACACATGTGCCCGACATGATTTTCAAATCGCCAGGTCCTGGACTTGAATTGCAGTCCACCATGTGGAAGTCTTAACCCCATGCCACCTGCTGGCTCCGTCTTGCAATTTAATTCAGTGGATGTTCCGAACTGCTTTTCTTTCTTGTGGCATTATCCATAAAAGCCTCACAACAGCCTACACTTCACAAAAGCTTCACAACAACCTAAGAGCCCATTGGCAGATGAGTGGATGAAGAAAATGTAGTGTGTGTGTGTGTGTGTGTGTGTGTGTGTGTAACCAAATACGATTTGGTCATTAAAAAATAAATGAAGCTGAAGAACATTATGCTAGGTAAGATAAGCCAGGTTTTTATCTTTACCCATGACTTTCCTTTTTTTTTTTTTTATTTGCTATAGAGCTTATGTGCTCACCAGAGAGAGACAGAAAGAGAGAGAAGGAAAGTGAGAACGCAACCGCCATGGAGGATAGTCACACCACGATTCCTTGACCATTTTTCCTTTTGGGATTTTGAGGAGCCCCTACGTGTGTGCCCACTATGTTTCTCTAGCTGCAGTATCCAGTATTCAAACCATGACGTTGGCCACATAGGCTCCCACCTGATTGTCATTCATTTTATTTTCTCTCTTTTAGGACATGTGCCGACCGGTCTCAAGTGTCATCCTGACCAGGAGCACCTCATTTATCCTCTGGGTTGCACACTCCTCATTCAGGCACTGAACACTCACGAGCAGAATTTCCTACACGGCCACAATAACAACGTCTCCTGTCTGGCCATCTCCAAGAGCGGAGATTACATTGCCTCTGGACAAGTCACATTCATGGGGTTCAAGGTACACGAAGCGAAGATAACACATGGTGACCCTATGCAGAGGGGCTCGCTAGAACTGCCCACTTTAGGTTGCTGGCTCTGTGCGGCCCTGTGCTTTATCCCTCTACCTCTTGACTTCGCTTGTCATTCATTTTCATTCCATCGGGCTGAGAGTGAAGGAATCCGATGTTCTCATACCAGTTGTTGCAGTTTGCAAATGATACCGCTCAGGAACAAAAGTCCCCGCTTCAATCCTGTTTTCATTTTGTTGCTTTTGATACGACATGTTTATAAAACGTGATCTAATCTCTAGAAGCGTGACATTATTGATTATTTTTCATCAAGAGGCGTATCTATCGCCCAGATTCTTTAAAGCCCATCTATGATCTGACAGTGTATTCTTGCCCCCAGGCAGATATCATTTTGTGGGATTATAAGAAAAGGGAGCTGATTGCTCGGCTGTCACTTCACAAGGGCAAAATCGAAGCTCTGGCCTTTTCACCAAATGATTTGTACTTGGTATCGCTAGGAGGCCCAGATGATGGAAGGTAATGAACTAAACATGTTTACTTATTTTCTGCCAGCTATGCTTCCAGAAGGGTCAAGTACCCTGTCCCCTCTAATGTTCTCTTCTGGACTGTATATTTGAGTGTGTGTTGTGTAAAAAGCCATGAGAAAAACAGCAGAAAATACTGTTTCTTGAGTCAGCCCCTGGCCTGGTGGTTACATGAGCTGGGTCCCACACAGACGACAATGTCCATGGAGTCCCAGACCTGGTGACTTGAAATACACAGGAGGTGCATGCACATGTGTGACCAAAATCCCAAAAGGAGGGAGAAATACAGGAGAAGGGATTGTGGTAAGACCAACCCCCCCTGGGGGGTTGCTTTCTCACTTTCCCCCTCTGTCTGTCTCTCCATTCCTTGGAGAGTATGTGTGCCCTGTCTAGGGGGAAAAAAAAAAAAAGGTTCTCTGCCCTGGATGCACATGGAAGTCATCTGGGCAGCTTTAGGAAGTTACAGAAACCTGGCTCCACCTTCAGAGTCTGATTCCATCAGCCGAAAAAATTGCACAGATTCTTCTGTGCAACTAAATCCAAGACACGTTGCTGGGAAAGAAAATCATCCTCCTCATTATCATCATCATCGTCACTATTAAAAATGATGGCTAGGGGCCAGCAGATGGCATAATGGTTACATAGCTGGACTCCCACGTGGCCGACTGTGGTTCGAGTCCTGGGCCCAGTAGCTTGAAACTCAAGTCAGGTGCTTGTGTGTGCATGCCCAAGATCCCAGGAGGAGTATGGAGGAGAAAAGATGGCTGCATGGCCATCTCCCAGGGGGTGATTTCTCACTTTCACTCTCACTGTCTCTGTCTGTCTCTATGGTGAGCGCACACATCCTAAGGCAAAAAGCCTTAAAAACACACACGCACACACAAAACCAGTGGCTACGTGTTCTTGAGCTTTTACTGTGGGACGGCTTGTACTGAAGATTTGATTCATTATCTCATTGAATCAGTGAGATACAGCTCCGTTACTGCAAGCTCTTGGTGCCAAATGTCAGATGAGGAGCTAAAAAAGCCATGAGGTAGAAAATGACAGAACTGGGAGACACACCTGGTAGTGTGACTCCAGATGTGTGTGTGTGTGTGTGTGTGTGTGTGTGTGTAAGTTTATTTATTTCTTCCATGAGAGAGAGACAGAAAGTCACAGCAATAGGCTCTTTCACAACCCCACCCCCCCGCCAGCCACAGCCAGCCTGGATCATGGGCGTGCGCACATGTGCCAGCATACAGAGGGAGGAGGCTCCAAAGCAAACCCAGGACCTTCCTTTTTAAATTTAATTTGCTAGCGAGCGTGTGCACTCACCAGAGACAGACAAAGAGAGACAGAAAGGGAGAACGCACCCCCTGGGGGTAGGGTGTAATCCCTTCTCCTCCATTCTCTTCTCAGGATCTTGGGCACATGTGCACATGAGCCCAATGTGGTTTTCAAGCCACTAGCTCTGGGATTTGCACCACACAATCGTCTCTATGGGATCCTGTCACCTTCACCACTACGCCACTGACTGGCCCAGCCCAGTACCTTACTATGGGGTTTCAGTTGCATCACCGTTGTGCACTGTGTGGTCCAGAGAGGTGACATGTAATCTTGCCCTGTCAGGATATGATCTTTGCTCTGGAGTGACTTCACAGTCAGGTTTGATGGGTAGAGAACACTGAGAAATAAAATTCGAGGTGGGAGAGTGCATTCGAAAGCATTGTATTAGATGGGACCGCCAGTGGTGTGGTGATTAAGGTGGCTGGAGCCCCCATGGCCTAGTGAGGAGTTCGAGTTCTGGACCCAGTGACTTGAAAAACATGTCATGCACATATGTACATGTACCCAAAATCCTGATAGGAGGGGGAAGATGGAGGATAAGGGATTGCGGCATGACCACACCCTATCGGGAATGCTTCCTCCCTCTCTATCTATCTCCGTCTTTCTTTAGAGAGTGCACATGCCTTCTGGCAATAAAATATATTTTTGGGGGAGGGCCAGCAGGTGGCGTGGTGGTTGAGGGTGCTGAACTCCTACATGCCTGACCACAGTTCGAATCCCAGACCTGGTGGCTTGCTTTCTGACTTTCCTTCGCTCTCTCTCCTGCTCTTTCTCTTTCTGTCTCTCTCTGATCAAATTAAAATAAAGAAAGTTAAATAAATAATAATTCTTTAAAATAAAAAAAAAATAT